TTTTTTAAATTTTGTTCTTGTTGATTGTTTTGTCAATCATTTTCAGTCAATTGTTATGGGTTCTTGTAAATTTCTCTGCAACTTTTTGTTCAAAGTTCTATAGTTGGGTATGTTATTTTCATTTGTTATTTTGTCCGGTGAAAGATCCAAAAATTAGTTTGAAACATATTCATAATAGATATATTTTAACATTTATGTCAATCCAAGGTATTTTTTACAAATTTTGACCTTGAAATTAGGTGCTTTGTGACATCTGATTTTTGTATCTAGTTGGCATTTTTGTTATGAAAACTCACAGTTTGAGTGTGTGCTTTATTTTTTAGATATACTTTAACCAATGTCATTCACTTGGAAGATGTGTCAGATTATGTGTCTGAATAAAAAACATTTATAATAGCATGTATGTCTTGATTAAACCATGGAACTAAACAGGTTCCATGGTTAAACAGGTCATTCTTTCATCGCTGTAATATAATATCTGTTGATGTTGGTGTGATATATTTGTTTTTGTCTTTATCTCATAGATTGATTCAATCATGCCATTTTATCGATTTTTATATTTATTGTTCTGAAGCAGAGTAGACATTGGTAAACAGTGCACAGTAAATATTGGATTTTCTCCTTAAAAATAAGATAAACTTTAGCACTTTGTTTGATCTTGGTGAAAACAAGACAAAGAAAATATCCATATTTCTTATTTCGAAGTGATTAGAATGCTTAATCACAAGTGATTTAATGTGTATTAGCTGATCTATAGTGCACTGTACATTAGTCAACTGGGGTTACACACTCTGAGAGGGAGAATGGTTGGTACTTTGCATGACCTTTCTGTTATAGAAATGTCCATATCTTCTTACTTATCAATAGGTATCAAGTCTGCAACAAATTAAGTGTTTCTGATCAAAAGCTGCAAGAAATGCTTCAAGAATATGGGATAGTCGCCAACTTAGATCATACTGCCAGTATTTCTGACTTTGAAGATCAACTTAAAAATTTCAAGGATAAAATCGAAAAGTGCAAATACATTGTTTTAGATAAGACTTTAGCAACAAAACACGGTGGAGAGTTTGAAGACAATCCTGCAGATGATATCGACAAAGATAAATATAGGACAGAGTCCAAGAATTTAATCTTTCTTGATTTAAGACAGTTCCTGAATGATAATAGACTTACTATTGGTAAAGACGGTTATGATAAAAATATCAACAATATACAAGGTAAATACAAACTATGATTTTATTGTGCATACTTAATCTATGTACAGGGTATTATAATTGCAACTCGGCATTCTTTTTTATCAGAATTTAAAATGCATAGTGTAAATTCTACTTGAAGCAAACTTTCTTTTGACCTTAGACTATCAAAATGAAAAACATTTCACAAGTTTTGATTGATTTTTTTTTCCAGTTTTTAAAGAAGATGGAACATCATGTCAGATATTGAGTAATTGTTGCAAAATAGAAAAACACATTGAGTTGCTTAAAAGAAGTAATCATAGTACTCATAGTTCACAGGTATGTAAAAAAAATAGATAAAAATTTGTCTGTATTCAGACTTATTACCATGGTGGTTGATGTCGTCAGGATGAACAATTTCTAAGAGCACCAAGGACATTTTAAGGCCCTTCCTCCAATGCCACCAACTGTCTTCTCTACCTATGCAGTCTTGTATGGTGGAACCCCGCGTTACATTGTAATGCTACTATTTGAAGTTTCACTTTCACACATGTAATGCATTTCTTTTCTGGATTATGGTGGTTTTATGATCCAAAATCTGACATCAATCTTGATATTTTGAATTGTATTAATTTGAACAATATGTCTGAACAGTATCATATTTTATCGCATACATCAGGCCATCTACATTCAACCATCACTCATTTTTTTACTTTTACTTTTACTTTAATATGTTCGTTTACAGTATGGTATAATTGGTTTAGAATTAATTCACAAAAAGTATGCAAAGTTCTTTAACAGGTTGCTGTACTATCTACAGAGTAGATAATTCAATTGTATTGTGTGGGCAGGTGTTTATCTATTTCCAAAGTTCATCTACGGATCTTGGACTTAATCTTGTATATTTTTATTTATTTATTTATTTATTAATGCAGGTCATATTCGTTGTTTTAAAGTTTAAATTTTTAAATTAAGTGGCTTGTTAACATCATCAGTAATTAGTACTCATGTTATTGAAATTGTATTTTAAACTCAAAAAAACATTAGATCAGATAATACGCATTGTGTCGAAAGTTATAAAGATAGTTGGTAGGGCCTTTGATCTTCCTCCTATCAGGGCATTTAAGCTATAAAGATGATATCTGTCTGCTTGTGTTATAGTAACTCAATGAACCTTTGTTAGAATCAAATATGATGCCATTTTTAGAATTGTTTAACCTTTTCACCACCAGACTTTCTTGCTCAAATTTTTCTGCCCTTTTTTCTTATATTCTTCAATATTTTTGGAAATGAACCCGAATTTTTGAGCAAACTGACAAAATTGGTGTAAATTTTCAGTTTTTATGTTTGAATATGAATGTTTTTGTTCCAGTTCAGACAGACTATAAACGGGATGAAATGAGGGAACTGGTGGTGAAAAAGTTAAGGATAAGATAATTTAACACTGTGCTCTTATCATATCATTTTACCATTAGAATATATTACTTGTACATGTTGTGAACTATGAGAAGGAATTCAGTCAGCAACAAGTTGATTTAGTCTGTAGAATGATTTCAGACAAAGCAAAAGATTGTCAACAGATACACTGTGTTTATGGTCCAGTCATTGCAAGAAAAAATATTAAACATACTCCACATACTCCAGTCATGTCTGCTGCTAAATATTATCAATTAAGAAAAAGTCAAATGAGAGAGGCATGGGTTATGAAATATGGAACTGCTGTTAAAGGTAAAGGCACTATCCATTTTGCTTCTTGTTGAATAGTACTATTTTCCTTGGAGAATATTACTGTAAAAGCATTTATTTTCACTGGCATTCAATTTTACTATTTCCTTGTTTTGAGCAATTTTTACTAGGTTTTAAGTTCACTCGACTGGGAAACAATGAGTTCTTTTGTTACCGGTATTTTACATGTTCATTTAATTTAGCAAATTTTACTTTGCACTGAAATAGCGAAAATTAAAACTCAGTGAATAATTAATGCATTTATAGTATTTGGTGATACATTCCAACAATATAAGGTTATCACTTGTTCATACAGCCAGTTGATGCAAATGATGTCATGGACTAGTATTTTCTCACGTGACTAACTCTGAGTGCCAAAAATACTGTGAATTTCACTAAATTACGCTTATTACTCTATTGCTAAATTATGCAAATATGGCATGACATCTATTCCTATTGGTGCAGTTATGGTTATTGGTGTACAGCAGAAATATTGCCATTCTATAAATAACTTTTCAAAATAAACTGCCATAAAAACAGTACTGCCTCACAATCACCATCTCAATGTATTGTTTGGAAACACATAAAATTAAATGGTAACCATACCATATCAGCTCGTGATATATCACACTAAACATCAAAACTGTGAACGATATGCACCATAGTCATATGATCATGAATATGTATATTAATATATAAATTGATGTACAAGATGAGCACAATTGTTACTAAAACAGTCCTATAGATTTGAATGTAATGTTTGAAATAAAAAATAATATATCCTATCCGTTTTAGGGGAAGGCTGGGAGGCAACTATAAATGCAATGACTATTGCTGCAATCAAATTTGAACTTCTTGGTACCACAGCCAGAAATTCTGTAAGTAAAGAGATATTTGTTTTACTATGTTATGACTCTCTTAGCACCTCCACCCCCCAACTGAACATTCTGGAGCTTATGGATTAGGTTTTGTGTGTCTGTCAACTGCATTATCTCAGAAGTTCATGGACAGTTGTCTACACTTGCTACATAGTTGATGAACAAAGAGATATTTGTTTTACCTTGTTATGACTTATCTTAGCCTCCCAACTGAACAAAGATATATATTTTTTTTGTCAATCAAATTCAGATTTTGTTCTGAAGGGAAACATACATTAGACAATGTGGGACTTCATTTGATCCATGACATTTTGTTTTACAGATTAAAAATGACCCTCTGTCGGCCATTTTGTTTGATGAATATGATTTTGGATCCATATCTCTCACATGCCCTGATCGTTAATGTTCAAATTTTAAATTTTAAATATTCTTAAAATTGATATCTCACATGAACTATGTAATGCAATTACCATTTTCTGTTTTATCACACTGACAATAAGATGATAGGGATAGTACAGTTTCAAATAACTTAGATATAAATTTAGTGTTATTGTTGATATTATTATTATAAATGCTTGCATTTGAGCATTCTGATTTTCTAGCTTTATCTGTAAGTCTCCTCATGGTTGTGTGTAATGAGCAAATTTTTCTCAAACACCTGCCAAAATATGCACCAAATTTGCTCCTTTTGGAGAAAGCAGGTGGTCTCTCCATTCTAATCTCATCTTTAAAACAAGTATTTTGTTTTATACATGTAGTTTACATGCAGAGTGTGATACTAGTAGCAGTAAATGTTTTCATAAGTTTGAAAATTCTGTATTATCAATAATATCTAAATGGTACTTGAAGATTAATTGTGATATCAAATATGGCTGTGTCAAGTTGTATTATATATTAAACATGGTCATTAACATACAGTTGTAGTTGACAACTCAAAATCCCATCATACATGCAGTTTTGGAATCCTGCTTTGAATATGCTCAGCACAACTAGCATAGGAAGTATGAAATGTTCCTTGTTTAAAGTTTTCTTGAGTGCAATTGCAAAAAAATGTCATAAAAAAATTACGATAGAAGGGAGTTGCTTGAAATGCACAGGAAATCAAAAAAACTATTTATCACAAACTATCCCATTGGTAAGGCCATATTTCAATCGTTGGTTGAAAGGTCTTGCATGTGGTTGGACTTGATGATGCCCTGAGCACAGTCAGCTGGCGCACACGTGATAATAAAATACTGTAGAATAACAATTGGCATTCCAGCACAGCAGCCAA